AAAAAAAAAAAAAATCGCTCTAGTCTATTAGATCATTGCCTTTCAGCTACGATAGCTATTATATAATATTTTCATAAAGTTGAATCCCAGAGTCATTTGTTCTCTTAAACATAATTATAATTAAAATAATAATGTTATGAAATTACACAGAAAACACACTCCTTAGGATCTAGACAGGATAAAGAGGAACCGTTTGATGTCATGCTACATTTACTTTATCAAAACTACCTGAGGGTGTTTGAACCGCTATTCAGAGACTCTCGTTTTCATCTGTCTCTGTCTGTACTTTACTCCGGGAAATGTTTTTGGGTTTATGCAACAATCAGTGGGTTTTAGGGCACAGTGTTTATAAAGTTAAAAAGAGATGACTAGAGAAACATGAAAGAATACCATTCCAATGGAGAGCATAAAATGTAGATATTTTATTAGGTGCAATTGTATCTATGACTGGATTTAGGTATATCTTAGATTGCACAAGACTCTTCTGTACATTATACATCTTGTTTTATTTCCAAATAATAGATTTATCATGCTTTTTTTAAACTCATAGACCAGAAAGCTACATACCTTGCAGATTACATGGACATAAATGGTTTTTATTACTGTTTGAGGGTATGATCAGGGCCTGACTTCATGGGCCAACAAAAGTATCCTATGGCTCCAAATTTCCATAGTCTTACTAGTTGTTTATAATACCTGAATAAGGATTTTTTTATATATATATTTTATAAATACGAGTATAACTATAGAAAAAAAATCTTATTCACAACAGAACACAAATTCTCACAAATTCTCCATGACAGTGATATTTGTATTTGGCATTAGATAGCCAAATATCAACCCAAGTAACAGAAAACTTCTTTTGTGAAATATTTAGCTTGAAACGTGTGCTATATTTTTTTTTTACATTTCTTTAAAGTTTGCACTAATTTGGAGACATTGTATGCAACAAAGTGGTGTTTTACTAGAGATACAACAACACATTTCATTAAAAATTTATATGCACATGTATTATACACAAATATTCAACTAACATCCTGTATTACCTTCTCTTGGAGCCATTGGATCCCAGGCGGACCACATCTGAACGAAAAAAAACGGCGTCCAGCAGATGATATAGGCCAGGACGATCACAAACGTCATTTTCACCGTCCTGATCTTAGCTTTGGAGATCAACTTGACGCTGCTGACGCGGGAGAGCGCGGTGCCCTTAGCTGGCCGCGGGGTCAACGACAGGCACTGGTCGCGCCGGGTCTTGAGCTTAAAGTTTTGCCATATTTTATAGCTTATAAGTCCATAACACACGCTTAAAATGGCTACAGGAATGATATAGATTGTGAGACTAATCCATGTAACGTAAGCCTTTGCGCCCCAGGGCTGAACAAAATCTCCCCAGCAGTCGAACACCCCGTCGCCCACCTCTCTGAGGGAGAAGATGTACACCTGTGGCAAACTGAAGAGCAGGCTTATAATCCAAGAGGCCAGTACGAAAAAACGGTCCTTTCGACGGCGCAGGGATCGCAGAGGCTGCCATATAGCCAAACATCTGTCGATAGACATCAGCACGAGCATGTAAGTGGACGCGAACATGCCAACCACCTGTAGGTACTTCACCAGGCGGCACAGAATGTCTGGTCCATAAAAACGAAAGGTGATGTCCCAAATAAGTTGGGGGAGAACTTGAAAAACCGCCACCACCAGGTCAGCGATGCACAGGTGTTTCATAAAATAGTACATCCGCGACTGAACGTGTTTACTCGCCTGGATAGCCACAAGGACGCACAGGTTGCCGGCGAGCGCCAGCAGCAGAATCAACCCGAGGACGGTTACTTCGACTTTAGCCACTTCTTCGTTGCGCTTCAGAGGATTTAAGGTTTGGTTCAATCCACTGCTGTCGTTTCCCTTGCTTGAATTG